TACTGCCGCGGCTGACAGAACATTTTACAGGCATTCATACCTTGCCGTGCTCTCACGGCCACTGTCACAACATCAGGCTCTGCCACAAGGTACATGACAGTATCATACAGCCATATCTGAGCTTGCAAGAGAGGCCTCACCCATGGATGAAATTTGTCAGCACCTCGAAGCCCTGAATCAAGTCGCCAAGACTCTGCAGGAGGGGTAGGTCCAGTTGGAGGAATGAGTGCAATCCCTGGCTACATCTGTAAATCCTGTTACAACGTCCTCTTCCTCTTCTGGTGCAGCACCTACAGAGACTGCTCCTGCATCCTCAGTGATTATGCTGACTCCTGAACCCAGGGTTCCCACACCAGAAAGGCTCTGAAGGGTTTGAAGTAAATTACGGGCCTTCCATAATGCATGTCAGCTATACTTCCCCCTGCACCACTGACTTTTTCCTTGGAATCCACCAAGGTCGGGTTCATTATTTCACTGCTTCAAGATGAACCTCAGACCTGGTCCAACCGACTTCTCAAAGAAAACAGCTCTCAACTACATACCATATCTGCTTTCTTTGAAGCAATGGCCTAGTTGTATGACGATCTATAGCGGACTTCCACAGAAGAAGCTGCCCTTAATGAGTTCCAGCAAGGCTGCTGAGCGGTCAAGAACTATGTTACAGGCTTCAGACGCTGGAGCACATATACACAGTGGAATGACGCAGCTCTGCAACATTGGATCCACCTTGGACTTTCTGAAGGCTTGAAACAAGACGTAGCCTGGGTCAGAATACCAAATACTTTGGAGGCTCTGATTACCTTAGCCATCCAGATAGACTGACAGCTTCATGAACACAGGTTGGAAAGGTCTACTCAACAGTCTCATCCTGTATGGATGATGCCCAGGGTGCCTTCTTCTGCTTACCCTACGGCTGCCCATTCTGTTCATGTCAGCTCCATTGCTGCCAATCCTGTGCCTCCAGTAGCTCATGCTCCAGAACCCATGCAGCTTAGATTGATACGTCCTTCCTTGTCACCTGAAGAACATCTACTGTATGTCTTCAGGAGAACAACCTTTGCCTATACTGCAAAGAAGCCGGCCATTATGTACACACATGTCCCGCAAAGATGCATAAGTGTCTGTCTATTTCTCTTGCTAACCTGTAACCACTGTCTGCCTGTGCAACTCACCTAGCTCTTCCACTTTCATTCCAGCTGCCAGAAGAAGCAATCTCAGTCAAAGCCATTATTGACTCTGGGGCATGCAGTTGCTTTATTGACTTAACCTTTGCAGCCCAGCAGCACATACCTCTACAACAGAAGACTCAAGGGCTAACAGTTTACCTGGCAGTGGCCATGTATCAAATCGGGATTGGTAACTCAGGAGACACCACCATTGTCTGTTGTTACCTCTTCCAAACATAAAGAACTATTGAGTCTTGATGCCATCACGTGTCTGTTGTTTCCTATTATTTTGGGCATAGCCTGGCTTCAGGCTCACAATCCACAAATTGATTGGATTACATGAGAAGTCAGCATCCAAGCTACCTATTGTCGGGAACATTGTTTGCCAGAATCACCTAATGCTGTTGTGACCCTGTTATCTGTGGACTCTGATCATGAAATGTGTCAAATAGTGCCTGAATACTATTATGAATTTTCTCACTCTCATAACAGGAACAGGAAGCTTTAAAAGAATGTTGATGAAAGCCATCCACTTCTCGAGCAAGGGCAGGAATATTCTTTGTTGAGAAAAAGGATCACTCATCCATGTGGATTACCAGGAACTTAATAAACTTATGGTAACCACTACTCCCTTCCTCTTGTACCCAAACTGTTCCAAAGGTTGACGTCCTAAGCCGTCTTTACCAAATTGGATTTGTGAGGGGCCTATAACTTGCGCCGTATTCACAAACGGGATGAGTGGAACGTGGCTTTACATACCGGATTCGGCCACTTTGAATATCTGATCATGCATTTTGGCCTCTGCAATGCTCATGCCACCTTACAGCATTTTATTAATGATATATTCAGAGACTTTATGGACATTTTTGCAATTGTATACTTGAACGATATCCTAATTTTCTTTGTGTCCTTTGATTTACACTGGGGGCACATTAAAAGTGTCCTATGCCGGCTCTGCCAACATGAACTGTATGCCAAGCCTGAGAAGCGTGAGTTCGAGCAGCAGACTATCCGCTATCTTAGACTTGACTGCACCCACAGAAAAAAGGGGGTGCATTGTTTTGTGGGATTTGCCCATTTCTACTGGAGATTTATGAAAGGATTCTCTGCCATTATTTATCACGTACCTGGTGATGGAGGCCAATGGAGAGAGGGCTTCTCTTGCGGCTAAGTCCTGGACTCCCCTGAAAGTGGGACAGCGGGAGTCTGGCCCAAAGTTTCACAGGTTGCCTGTAGGAGTGCTGGTTGGTGGTCCACTCAGAAGCACAGCTAATGCACGGAGATAGCTCTGCAGAAAGAAGGAGCCTGTGCGTGGTATGTAAGCCCTTCTGGGATTTAGATGTTTACTGGGTAGTCGGTTCAAGCCAAGGTCAGGTACCAGGTGGGGATCAGAGCAGACGTAGTCAGATGGTATAGCCGAGGTCATACACAGAGGAGCAAGAGAGAGAGTATTCGTAAGCCAAGCCGAGGTACGATCAGGGATAAAGCAGAGTAGACAGGTCCAGGAGCAAGCCGAGTCGGTAACAGGAAATCACAGGTAAGAATCACAGGAAACAGGAACAGGGCACGGGGAGCTAGAGATCATCCAGCAACTTGAGGAAGTGATGAGCCTCCTTATGAAGGCTGTCTGGCACCAAACTGAGGCTAATGTGTACTTTTGCGGCCATGCAGAGTACTGGCAGAAATGCCAGATTTTCCAGAACTTCTGCCGTGGACAGGACCCTGACATTATTGCTCCTATCATGCAACTGACTAAACAGAACCTTCGGTTCCACTGGAGCCTTGAGGCCCAGACAGCGTTTGAAACTCTAAAAAAGACATTTCACTTCAGCCCCTATTCTCAGTCATCCTGATCCATCTTTGCCGTACATATTGGAAGTAGATGCATCAGAAATCGCAGGAGAGGCAGTTGTCTCATAACACCAGGGTCTCAAGGGCTTAATGCATCCCATGGCCTTGAGTACTTAAGATCTGCCAAGTGTCTGAAGCCATGTCAAGCTTGTTCTTTTTTGAGATTTGCATTTCACATTACCTATCGACCCGGATCAAAGAATACTAAACCAGATACACTGTCTCGTATGTACGATGACCCAAAAAAAAAAACATGTGCTAGATACCATCCTGCCCGCATGTAACTTTTGTTATTACAAACTGATCTTTCACAGATTAAGCAAGCCTCTGTGGGTGTCTCTTGCCCTCCTGGAATCACACTGGTTCCTAATGAAGGATTGATGTGGCAGAAGAATAAAATCTTCATACCAGAAAGTGTCCGGGTGACTGTCTTGAGGCAAGCCACTTTGGTGTCCATAAGACTCTTGATTTGGTACGATGTACTATAGTTTCCAGGAATATATATTTGCCCTTTTGTAAATATCGGTACCACGTTAGTTCTTCGCCATTCAGCTGGTACTGTTCCTGTCAGTATGATGTCCATAAAAATTAGGAATAATGGTCTGGCTATAACCTGACTGAGTTCTTTGAGGACTGTCAGGTATAAGCTATCTGGTCCTGGTGATTTATTTGTGTTAAACTTTTCAAGTTTTTTTCAGATACTGGCTTCTCTAAGCCACGAGGGTACATTCTGTGATGCATTAGTAATGATACCATCTTGGTTACTATACCCCTCCTTTTCCTGTGTAAAAAACTGAGGAGAAGAATGCATTTAGCACAGTTGCTTCTCCTTGTCATTTGTAACCATCTTCCCTTTATCATCCTTTATGGGGCAAATATGCTCTGACCTCCATTCTTTACTGGTAATATATGTAAAAATGTGGGGGATTTTTTTTTACTCTCCTCTGCTATGGAATACACTAAATTATACTTTTGTTTAATGTGTCCCTAAAATGCTCCCATTTTTCCTCAGTGTTTAGTGTTTCTAGGGGTTGGTCCCATTTAATATCTTGTACGATATAGCACAGTTTAGAAAAATTTGATCTTTTGAAATTTAGTGTTCTTTCCCTACCCTCATGCCTCCTTTTCCTTTGATTTATGCTGAATGTAATTATCCTGTGATTGCTGGTTCCCAAGTTGTCCCATATTTCCACATCTGTGATCAGATCTGTGTAGTTTGTAATTAATATATCTAGCAATGCATTCTTTCTAGTCGGGGAATCCAACATTGGCACCAACATGAAGTTGTCCTATAAGACATTTTACGAGCCTTAAATGAGTGAGCTGTTCTTTCTGCTCAGTCAATATCTGGACAGTTGAAGTACCCCATTATAATATAATTGCCTTGGCTTTTCTAACTGTGATAGGAGATCCAACTCCTCCTCATCCTTCAGGATAGGGGCCTGTAGCATACCTCCACTGTTAATTTCCCACTTGTTTATTCCCTTTAAAATGCCACCACAGGGACTACACCTCCCTCCTTGACCCATTTGCAAGGTCATCCCTCACAGTCATTAGCAAATCATTCTTGATATACAGGCATACCCCTCCTCCTCCTCCTCTTCTACTCTTTCTCTCCGATATAAGGAATACCCCTGGATAGTTGCCAGCCAGTCATGTGAGCTGTTAAACCAAGTTTCTGATATTCCCACAAAGTCAAAATCCTCTTTATGTATCAGCAGCTCCTATTCTTCCATTTTGTTAGTTAGGCTTCTAGAATGTGTGTACATGCCTCTTAGTTTTGTATGGGCGCTTATTATTTCCTCCTTAGTTGTTCTGTGGCTGTAATTTTGTTTTGACAACTGTAACGGAAGCGTAGGCAGGACAGAGCACACAGAGAAGATGGGGGACACACAAAGCTTTATTGAAGCAACAAAATGACAGACACTCAATGGGGAAATGGCAGGGAGGGTGATGTGTGCGCAAACCAGGGACGATTCCAGGCACGGGGGGGTCTTCAGCGACAGGCAGGCAATCTCCCCCCTAGGCTTGGGGCCTCAGCCGAGCTCCCTCCGTGACTGGACAGCAGATTGGAGACTCAGGCAACAGGCGGCAACCTACCACTAGGCAGGGACCTCGAGCAACAGGCGGCAATCTACCACTGGGCAGGGGCCTCGGGCAACAGGCGGCGACCTACCACTGGGCAGGGGTCTCGGGCAACAGGCGGCAATCTACCCCTGGGCAGGGGTCTCGGGCAACAGGCGGCAACCTACCACTGGGCAGGGGCCTCGGGCAACAGGCGGAAATCTACCCCTGGGCAGGGGCTCGGGCAACAGGCGGCAACCTACCACTGGGCAGGGGCCTCGGGCAACAGGCGGCAACCTACCACTGGGCAGGGGCCTCGGGCAACAGACGGCAACCTACCCCTGGGCAGGGGTCTTGGGCAACGGGCGGCAACCTACCACTGGGCAGGGGCCTCGGGCAACAGGTGGCAATCTACCCCTGGGCAGGGGTCTCTGGCAACGGGCGGCAACCTACCACTGGGCAGGGGCCTCGGGCAACAGATGGCAACCTACCCCTGGGCAGGGGCCTCAGGCAACAGGCGGAAATCTACCCCTGGGCAGGGGCCTCAACAGGTGGCAACCTACCACTGGGCAGGGGCCTCGGGCAACAAGCCAACCTACCACTGGGCAGGGGCCTCGGGCAACAGGCGGCAACCTACCACTGGGCAGGGGCCTTGGGCAACGGGCGACAACCTACCACTGGGCAGGGGCCTCAGGCAACAGGCGGAAATCTACCCCTGGGCAGGGGTCTCGGGCAACGGGCAACAACCTACCACTGGGCAGGGGCTCGGGGACTCAACGGGACTCTAGCTGTGGAGTCTGGCCTCAGCACAGCTCCCACCCAGCTTTCTAGGGACATTGGGTTCACTGGGACTCAACGAGTAGCGATGGCTCAAGCACTCAGGGGCACCACAGGTAGCTATACTCTGGGCACACCATGGGGTGGTTCAAGTAAGGGTAGTCTAGGCATGTAGTAGGGCAGTGCCTAACCCAGGTGGTCTGTGCGCACAATAGGGACAGTTCAGGAAACGGGTGGTCAGTGCACACAGCGGGGCAGTTCGGAACACGGGTGGTCGGTGCATACAGCGGGGACAGTTCAGGACATGAGTGGTCGGTGCACACACCGCGGGACAGTTCAGAACACGGGTGGTCGGTGCACACAGCAGGCACAGTTCAGGACACAGGTGGTCAGTGCGCACAACAGGGACAGTTCAGGACACGGGTGGTCGGTGCACACAGCTGGGACAGTTCAGAACATGGGTGGTCGGTGCACACAGCGGGGACAGTTCAGGACACTCACGGCAAGCAGCTTGCAGACACTCAGCGGCAGACGGCTCCAGACAGGGACGACCAGCGGTCAGCATTCCAGGGACAACCAGCAATCAGCAGACAGCAGCAGCTCCCAGGGCACTCAGCAGCAGACAGGGTGCAAGGGTGCTCAGTAGACAGGCTTACAGACTTGCAGGGTCTGGCAGGGTCTCAGCTGTGGGGTCTGACCTTTGAGGAGAAGGCTCATGCAGAGCTATGGAGACTCCCAACCCTGGGGTATTGCAGAGGGCTACATTCCTGACCTTTTGGGGGTCTGCAGAGTGCGCAGGGGGATGGCTGGGGAGGCTCGGTCCCCCCCACCCGAGCCTCCAGCATCTTTCTGGGAGCAAGATGATTCCAGCAGCATGGACAGGAACAAAGAGAGGAGGGCTGCTTCCTGTGCGGTTCTTTTGAAAACCATGTGGGACGCGGCTAGGTTGCCTCGGCAACGGCCGGCCCAGCCCTGTCCATGGAAGCTCCACAGACATCGGAATGTGCAAGGGGGGAGGGAGGGGTGGAGGGATATGGCGGGGGATGGGAAAGGCCCTGGCAGCCCTTGACACCAACCCCTTAGTTTTTTTATGGAGAGCGGGAAAGTTTCCAGTAAGGAAGTTACTGCACTAGGCTTCAACAAAATAAAGGCCTCCAGCAAGAAACAAGAGCAATGCTGGAGACAATTTACAGCACACACTATTCTTGGTAGCATAATTATTGGTGCAGAATGTATGTTCTTTTATTAAAGAACATTTATTATTATCAAACTGTTATGGGTAAAGCTTCACTTTAAGTATAAACCTGCATACATCCCATCTTTGTGATATGATAAAATAATATCAATCATATGTCACTCAACTTTTAAGGGTCATATGCATTCTCTAGTCTTACCACTAGATGTCACAATAATGCTTCAGTCTTTCTGTTACCAATTACCTGGATGTTGTGATGTTCTACAATGAGACAGATACAATGAAGTCAATGACAGTTCATTTCAGAATAGACTGTGATACCCAGTATCGAAGATATGCTCCAGAGACTGTATGTACACTGTTGTTAATGTCAAAAAAGGGAGGGGGAGACAAGTGTGACCTGGACAAAATGGAAAAAAAAGTAGACATAAAGGCATGTAGTTCACATAATTGCCTGTTTTTAAAAAATAAAAGATAGATAGATAGATAGATAGATAGATAATAAATAGAATGCAAGGGAGGAGAAAAGCATTAAAGAGCAAGGGAGGAGGTGTGACAGGGTGAGGGAGGGAGAAAATGAACTTGAAAGGGGGAGAGGCAAACAAGAGGAGTACAAGGTACTGGAGAGCATTAGCAGAGAGGGAGCCTGAGATCACAGATTAGACTGGAGTGCGCTTTAAGATGCTTGTGTCAGCTGCTACTTTAAGTCAGGCTATCTACTGATGAACAGCTGAGGAAGAAGTGCAGACAAAAGCGGAGTGAATATACACGTAGACGAAGAGACAGCTTGAAAGAAATATACAACAAAGGTGAGAGACGTTAAACGGGCAAACAAAGAAGACAGGCGCTAAATAGACCAAGAGGAGAAAAAGAAGACGGTTAGGTGACTGATATCTATACACAAAGGCACATATGAAGATGTTCTGATATACATTTTTATGTAACGTGCCACCACGGACTCCCACACAATGCAAGCTACACGGAGGGGAGGAGAAGCTATTTTTTCACAAGACTGATATTTTTTTAACCATCAACACTATTTAAAGTGCCAAATGTCACAGGCCATATAACTGGTTTACTAACCTATAGGTTTGTACTGTACATGCAGCTTTCCTTTCTAATTGCTTCCTAATTTGTATACCTAATCATACTTTTTGGCATGCAGTGCTCTCAGATGTCTCATATTTAGCTGTAGTCAGTATTCTAACAATATTTTTGATAGTTTTAGTTTTAATTTTTAGCAGTTTTATATGTTCTCAAGTCTTTGACCACCTTCTGTGAATTGTTTATTGAATATTACTGAAGCACTCACACAGAGCACTTGCTGAACAGATGGACTTGTACCCACAGAATTTGGACAATCTCAAGGAACTCTAATTAAGCATTGTCTGATAACGTACTTGGAAAGTCGTCCTTGGCAGCATTTTTCAGCCTTCTTGAAGAGTAGTCTTCAGAGCGGTCTTGCATTCAGCAGTTTCTCATCCAGAGATGGCGTTCACCTTTGCTGCGTTCTGTTACATGCTAACACTCGTCCTCTGTGCTTCTCTCATCTTTTTCATCATCTGGCACGTGAGTCTCAAAACTAAAAGGGTACTGAGGGTCATATCATACAAAGGGCATAAGTATCCCAGAAATTGTCATATCACTCATATTACCCCTCCAAATAGCACATTCAGGGTGGTGGAGGTAACCTTTGATGCTAGCTACATCTGATATGAAAGTGGCAAAGGGTAGATCTAAACTAAAAGGTATCACGTGGGAGTGCCTTGTGTTGGGCAATAGCAAAGGAAAATATCTGGCCTGTGGCAGAGTATGTGGACCTTCATTTTGGAAATGTAGGGTGGGTACAATGTTTGAGAACAAAAGACAAATGAAAAGACAAGCTAGGGTCTGATACAGTAAGTGTTCTAAAAAGCAGTATAGCTGTATTGTACATGATCACTGTAGTTATCGGCCTTTGTGTGTAAATATGTATGTGATGCGTCTCAGGTGTACCTTTTTACACTCCAGTACCCAAGTCACAGCTGTGCTTGCGCTCTATCAAGTGCAACCACAATTTATTTGCAATGATTATTTACTGATATTGTATGTATAAAAAAGGGGAAAAACATACAATATATATAAAACACATACACATCATGCTAAATCCTTCCTTAACATTACTGAATATTTTCATTAATATTATTCATCGGGATTGTAAATTATCATTTTCCGGTCTTTAGAACAGGGCTTACTTGAGTTAAATAGCTTTGACACTAGTAAGCAACATTTTCACGCATATGGAGACTTTCCTATGTATACAGTACTATACATTCATTACATTATATGAGGGTTCAGTGTTCCAACAATGTGCAACTAGTTAGCTCTGCAACTGCAAATGATGCTACCAGTGTATATGACAGTGTATATTGTAAAGCTTTTAAGGCCAGTGAAATGACAGATTTCTGTAAAGTGGCAGCTCACAGAAGAGGAATTATGTATTATTGAAGGTTCAGCTATAACAGAAAGCTGAAATCGATTCATTAAAATCAGTGTGTATATACAGTATGTAGTTATATGTAAATTATTTCATGATTTCTGCACAGTATATCATCATTCTTTTCTCAGAATGTCAATTAACATTGATTTCCTGTGTGAAATAGATGCTTCTCAGGCTTCTTTTTGTGTAACTGATCATTGATGGGGGATCTGTTGCAATGGTGACAGTATCTATACTTCTGATTTGCTGGGTTTCAATTTATATTTTAAAAGTCATGGTTACCAGCACTGTTGTCCTGAATTTTATTTATGTGTGCTAATATGTCTAATAATGTATGTGTCTAAGTGTGTATGATTGTGCCACAATGTGTGTGTGTATAATTGTGTATGTCACATTTTCTTAGCCCCCACCCTCCCCCATGTGTTCATCCTTTATGTTTCTGCTTCTCTCTGTTGCTGTGGAGACTGAGCTCGTTTCTATGGAAACTGCATATGTTTATAAAGTGGTACCCAGAGAACTAACCATGTCCTACCTACAGTACAATCCAGACCATCAGCCTACCATATTCTTCCAAGCATCCCATTACTGTCTTCTTTGTGTTAAGTATACAATCCTATTATACCAGTCATACTTCTTTTATCTTTTATTTACTCTTTGGTTTATGGTTCTTCTTTATTTAATCTTTTTCAGCTTTAATCAGCTTGTACTTTCTCCACCCTTTTCTTGTATTCTGTACCTCCTTGTCTGGGTACTGTATCAGCACAATCTACTGGCAGCATTATTTAATTACATAGTGCAAATAACAAAACACTAAGTTCAAACTACATTACTACAAGAGGAACAAATCAGAATCTTTTTTCATTGTGCTGACTTCAGTAAAGTGAACTTTGATTGGTGGCAATGGGCTAGTGCACTTTTTATATTTCTATTAGAAACTGATAATTGTATTCTTTATTACATTCAGTCACATCTTTCCTTTAAAAAAGTAACAGTTTTCATTTAAAAGTAATTTGCTATTGTGTATGCATGCATGTTTTGTATGCTTTCACTCACCAGTGAGAAAATTAGAATATATCCTCTGTTACAGTTCACCTTCTGTCCACAAAAGAAGCTACATAGTTCAACATTTAGGGAAGAATTTCTGGCTAAACAAACTTTCTGCAGTTTCAGTGGTGGAGCTTATTAGATCATTAGTTTGTCAGAAGTTTTGAGGCCTGTGAATATATAAATACACTTTTTTTTAAATAACCAGAGCAATTTCGTGAACGTTTCAGAAATGTAACTGTCAAAATATATGATCACAATTAAAAAATCCAACAGGTTTCTTTTCTAGCCCCCTCAATACACAGAGCTGTGCTCCTCCCCCCATCCAATGGCTGTGTCCTTCCAAGCAGTTTGCATCCCAGATGGTAAAAATCTGGTTCTGGGCTACCCATGCCTGTTCACTAATGTCTCATAAACCGGAACTAAACCCTGCTATCATTTCCAGCCAAGGAATCTGCCATATTAGCCCTGTTTGATCTTCAACTGCCATGGTGATGCACATGTGATCAGTTATGACCCCAGCCATTTGATGGTTTGACAGTTTGGTTGAGAGCACAAGCAAATGTGACAGTTAGCAGTCCTGGCATGGGCTGAGAATGTAACTGTTTTTTGAAACTGTTAAATTGATGAGTTTAGTTCCACTTTAAACTGTCAAAC